TATGAGCAGGGTATCTATATGAAGAATGCAGCATTTTAAAGTATTAATCCTATAGACATGTTTTCTATGTGAAAATGCAGAATTGAGAAAATATACACCCTATAGGCATGGTATCTACGTGAAAATGCAGAATTTAGAAAGTATACACCCTATAGGCATGGTATCTACTTGAAAATAAAGAATTGAGAAAATATACACCCTATAGGCATTATAGGCATGGTATCTACGTGAAAAAGCAGAATTGAGAAAGTATACACCCTATAGGCATGGTATCTACCCCTTTGGCATGCATTCTATCCCATCCCTTTTCACTATACCCCAGTAGTTATTACAAAGTTCGTTACAAAGCTTATGACAGACCAAGTGAATCAAAAGAATAAATGAAAATACATCAGTGATTACATCTACATCTAATCAGCCTAATCCAGACTCAAAGTCTAATAATATGAGATAAACCAACTTCCAGGATCGGATTTTTCAAAGCCTTTCTCTTATCTGGGATGTGTCAAAGTTCCGAGGAACTTCAAGAGTTCTAGGAAGTGCTTACACCCCAAATATTATTGCCGAGCAGATTATAGTGCAGTGTGGAAGGGCCAGCCCTCAAGTGTCCAAGTTCAAAGGGAACTCAAGGTCCCAAGGCAAGGCTCACAAGAGGGGGGCAGGACTTAAGGGCTTAGGAGTAAGTGTAAGTGCAATGAAAAAGAATTAGGGGGGAGCCAGGGCAGGCTGGTGGTCATGCCTAGCACCTGGGCTGCTGGCACACCCCTGACCAACTTATCAGCTTAAAAATTAGTGAGTTAGGACCCTTTGAGGGTCAGGTTCAGCCATTGACAGCAATTTAGAGGCTACCAGGCTATACCTTAACTCTATACACATAAAGGAATGGGGGTATGGGAGATTGAAAGAGGCTGGGATCCAAAGGACCCAGTCTTAATCCATGACAACAACTTTGTATGTTGCCATTCTTAAACTACAACCCATGCACATAAAGGGGAATGGGGATAGGGATTCATTGCAGTAACAGATAGCCAAACATAAGTAATCATTTTAAAACTGAACTCTATAAAGCAGTAAATTAGGCATGGGCATAAAAGCTTGTAAGTAAACACATTGGATTTTGATGCTTGAATCAAAAGTAGGACATACCAGTTCAGAAGAGCAAGTTGGAAGAAATAGTAGATTTATGGAAGCCAAATTGCAATCAAGAAGCAAGAGTGTAAGTTTTAGAAGAGAGTTGTGGTGATTAAAATCGTGTCTGTGCTAATGAAAGAGCATGGTATTTATAATTGCAAACAGGTGTAGCAAATAAGGCAAGAATCATAGTTTAGTAATAATTAAGGAACTATGTACCAATTAAAATCAATCAGCCTATAAACTTCCTTTAATTAAGGAGTCCAAATTCAAACGGTAATGGGCAGAAGTTATTTAGGGAAGGAAATCAAGTAAATACCTCGTGCAAGGTAGACAAATAAGGGTAAATACATGGTGGTACTTGATTTGTAAAACAAGGAAAGGGAACCAGTAAAATAACCAGTAAAGAATCCGTTGAAAGCCTTGCTCGAGTCAGAAAAGAGGTAAAAGGAAAGTTTTAATTTAGGGAAAAATCAGTAACAATCAAATAAGCAACATTAAAGGAATTCAGAATCAATTAATAGTTGGCAAGACCTTTGAAAGAGAAGCTCTCGTATAAAACACATAGACATGTCGAGCAAGAGGGTTTCAAAATCACAAACGCACAAAAAGGTTCAAATTCAATTCATAAACTCGAAGTGAGTCTGAGAGTTCAAGGTTTCAAAGTAGAACCCTTGTCCAAACATAAAACCAAATTTAGCCAAAGAAAACCCCCAAATCCTAGAGTTTTTAAACTCGAATTTGATACAGAGATGAAGAGGCAAACTATCGAGATGAGCTCAGAGACCTTTTCAGAGTCACATGAGAAGCATACAAGCACAATAACAAGTAGAACATAGGAACCAGTACAGGAAATAAGTTTCAAGAAAGCTTGAAAATTAAATGAGTTCAGGTAGTGTAAACTTAAAGAAACAGTCGATGAAACACATCTAGAAAGAATCCAGGCGAAGTCTGGTAAAGGCAAACAAAGGATCAAAACTCAGTAGGAAAATACAGTAGAGGAACACATAAGATAGACATGAGAGAGCATGGTGAAAAACCAGTATGAGATAGAACGGAGCATAATAAAATAAATTTCATATCAAGGCAAATATAAGAACACACGAAAGGCATGTGAGTCAGAAAAGAGCCAGTAAGAACATAGCAGGGATCGATTTACACCAAGAAAAGAGAAGAAGAAGAGTCAGAAACATTTTAAGGACTTTCCAGAAACCCTAATCGAAAAGAAGTTCCTTTTTGAAAGAAAATCGGAAAAAAAGGTTTAAGAAACTTAAGCAACAGTGCAAACATGTAACAGATCTAAAATAATCGGAGAGAACCTCGATATTTAGGGTTCCAGATGAACCATAGAGATGAGAAAGGCTTTGAAAATACCCGATCTAAGTCGGATAATGTCATAAACAGGCTCAAAAGACCAAGAGCCACCGGAGCAAGGCCGGAGATGGCCGGAATCTTCGAATCAGTGAAGGCCTGGGTGAAGACCCTCGAGGTGTGGCCTCGATCCTTCGAACAACAGGCATGCAGGAGCCATAGGAGGTGGGTATAGGCTGTCCATGGCCTGAGAAGCCATGGAAGCCGGTGAAAACAGGGTGGAACAAGGTAGGGGAGGCTAGGGTTCCGGGGAGCCTTGAGAGAATTTGAGAGTTCACGGGCGGCTGAAGGAGGAAAATGAATTAGGGTTAGGGGTCGTCTGAGAATTAAAAAGGAAATAATCAATCTGAGCCGTTGATCTCTAGATCAACGGCTGAGATTAAAAGGGGGATCCGGTCGGTTTTTTATGGATTGGGTCGGTTTAAAATTTGGGTTGGTTGCGATTGGGCTCAATTGTGGTTAAAATTGAAATTGCAAAGGGGTTATAATTGAAATGGACGAGGCTAACTGTTAAACAACCATTTCTTCCCTTTTTATTTTAAAAATAGTTAAAATAATTTCCATAACCAGTTAAAAGCACTAAATTGATTAATAATCATATAAATATTAATTAAAAGTACTGGGAGCAATTTTGTAATTGCAAAATACTGTTAATCGGAAAATAGGCAATAATCGCAATTATAGCAATTTAGCATTTAAAATACCAAATAAATTTTATAAGAATATGCAAAAAATCACATTAATTATATATTGGTGTAATATGAAATAAAAATAAATTATTCATCAAAGAATGATAGTCCGGAAATAATTATTGAATTTTATACTATTAAAATAGACAACAAATTGATTTTAAAAACTTTTAAAATAAGGGAAAGATACCAAAACTCTTGGGCATGCTTATATATGCATGTACATATTATTTTGAGAACATCTTGAGTATATAAAATACATAGGGAAAAATTGGGTATCAACAGTGGTATGGAAGTGCAGTCTTGTTACCTGGTGCATGAGATCGTGGAAGCGTATCTCACGGGAAGATTGTATAACTGTGACATGCAGTCATTTGATTGATTAAAAATCTAAACCAAGAATTTTGGTAATATCATTAATTTGAGAATTTATGCCTGGAGGGCACTCGGTTTATTGGGCTATGAACGGTGGAGGTTTCTCCGGTTACGATAGTTGTTCTTGTGTTATGAGAAAAAAGGAGGTTATTATGGACCCATGAAGGTTATTACTCTAGTGCGGACGATCAGAATTGGCTTGAGGTCTGTGAGTTCTACTATCAAATTCCTTAATTAGATGATAAAACTAACAATAGATTAATGTATTAGAACCAAATTAGAGTTAGAATTCATTACCAATAGCTCTCCTTCAAAATCTCTCAAGGAATCGCCTTCTACCGAGCTCAAAATCGATTTTAGAAGTTATGAATACAAACCCTCGTTTTCCCTCTTTTCTGCCCAGTGATTTCCGTTTCTGCGATGGGTCTACCGCACCTTCGGTCCCACTCCTGCGGCTCGTACTCCGCACCTACGGAATTTCTTAAGTGTCCAGCTTCCGCACCTGCGCTCCTCTTATCACAGATGCGGTACCGCTTTTGCGGTCTTTGAGTCGCATCTGCGACCCTTGATCTCCAAGCCTCAGACCGCATATGCGGTCACCAACCCGCTTTTACGGCACCGCATCTGCAGTCCAAACTCCGTAAGTGCGAAACCAAAAGGTTCAGTAAGTTCAGAAATTGCCTAAGTCCAATTCAACTTCCGTTAAGCATCTGAAACTCACCCGAGGCCCCCGGGACCTCAACCAAACATACTAACCAATCTTAAAATATCATACGACTTAGTCCAACCCTCACATCACGTCAAACAACGCTAAAACCAGGAATCACCCTCGAATCCAAGCCTAATGAACTTGAAATCTCAAGAATTCTACAACTGCTGCCGAAACCAATCAAACCATGTCTGATTGACCCCAAATTTCGCACACAAGTCACATTCAACACTACAGAACTATTCCAACTTTCGAAATCGGATACCGACCCTGATATCAAAATTTCACTATCGATCCGGAAACTTCAAATATTCAACTTTCGGCATTTCAAGTCTAAATAAGCTACGGACCTCCGAAACACAATCCGAACACGTCCTAAGCCCGAAATAACCCAACGGAGCTAACAAAATCGACGGAATTCCACTCCGAGGCCGTTTTCACACCGTTCCTATTACGGTTCAAATTCTAAAGCTTAAGCTCTCCATTTGGGGACTAAGTGTCCCAAAACACTCCGAAACTCAAAACCAATCTTCCCGAAAAATCACAATAGCAGAAATAAATACGGAAAAATCAGTTGATAGACGATTGGAGCCTAAATTCTCAAAACGACCGGCCAGGTCGTTACACTTAAAAGAACCTAAAATAGTAGTAATAATTCTTAATGGATTAGCCAAGAAGTCATAAACAATATATTTCGAAAAGACCTGAGGCAACAAGTGTAAACAGACAAAGAAAGTGAAAACAAATTGATTGAAAAGGATAATCGATCCATGCTTAGCTCCGACGCACTTACCAAACATTATGCTGGAAGTTGTTCAACAATTACAGGAAAAACATAGAGAAAATCTACAAAAAGTCAGTTAAAAAAAAAAAACATAACCCTGTATATATCCTTGCCAGATTGTGGAATATTCAACAACCGCACAACCTTAAGAGAAGATCCAAAACACTGTCATACTGGATTCCGCAATGGACAAGAAGCTTGTCATCTTCTAATAATCGTCCATTGTAGAGTAACATCTGTTTATGAAACCTAATTCCCTCCTTTTCTTGAATTACAGCCTTAACATCCGTAACGGTATCATCACCCTCAACCATTAACCATATAGTGCATTCAGTTTGCGTTTTCACAGATATTTGTGTTATTGGTGCATATCGAAGGATTAAGTTAGAACCTTGCTTGATTTTCGCAGAAATAAGAGTCTGTGTATCTCTTAAAACTCCCCCATCTTTGTTCAATAGCTTCTGTTTCTTAAATGGAATTCCCCTTTCCTCTTGAATATATGCTTTTACTGCAGCTATGCAGTCATCTGGTTCAACTATCAAGATAAAAGCTTTTGATTCTGAAAGGTCACTGTCCTCGAGTTTAAACTTGGGGGTAAAAATGATTTTGGTAATGAATCCCAATTAATCATGTCTCTATAGGTATCATCTTGAATAATAATTTGCATCGTTCGACTTAATGACCATGGATCTATAACAATAAAACATGGCATAAGCTTCGATTGGATAATCTTTTTTCTTAAGATACAAATTATAACGTGTAAATAACTATAATTCACTAGCAACTTTTAAATTAACATTAAAGAAAAGTAAGGGTAGAAAATTTGGCAAAACAGAGAGATTTCACTAATATATAGGATCACATGTTTAAATCTGTAAGTAATATACTAGCTATTAAACATCAATATATAGTGAAGAAAATGAAAGCATACTCAGTTCTGCATCCGTTTCGATCTTTACTTTTTTCTCTTGATCACTTGATCTCCCTCTCGGCCTTTTACAAATGGCTAAGCCCAAACCTCAATTATAGAGGCTAGGATAATATAATAATCCTTTATATGCGGGGCCAATCCCATTAATAAAAAAGAAAAATAAATATGGCCGGCAGGCAGGTCTGTTCTTTGGTTGTTGATACAATTTTATTATCAATATTAGTCAATTAGCTATTTGTAGCCAAAATAAAAGTCAATTTTTTGTTTTCTTTTGAGTGGGTGTTATTGGAATAGATTGGATAAATTTTAAGGAGTTTAAATCTCAGTTTTGGGATGATTTGGTAGTGTTTTAAGGTGTTTTGAATTGAAAATTTGAAGTAGAAGATGATCATGTAAAATGATAACATGTGCATCACACTGTGTATCATTTGTTTATCACATATGTATCATATTTGTATCAAATGTGTATTGATCACCCACAACTATGCCTTATAAAAAGGACAAAGCGATCCATGCAAATATATTCCGGATAACAAGTCCGGAGTCGATCCTATATGGAATTAACCTATCAATCACAGCTATTAGACTCACAGAAATTCACGTATTTAATCTTCAGAGATATTTAAGTAATAAGTTGGTTGTTTACTAACTAAATATTATGTAATGAAAATGCAATGATTAATAACTAACTACTAACGGTTGGTAAGCAAGAATGAGAATGATCTAAGGTTGTGATTTCCCCTATTGTCGAAATCCTTTCCGCTATGTTTGCTATAAATTTGCCTAAGTCTTCTCTATCGATCATGAGCACTCTGATTGTCGTAGCTCTCTAGCGAGTAATTACAACAATATACTAGACATATTCTCCCGAATTACGCTAGCTAGCCTTAAGTACAACTCACTTAGATCGCACCCAAGGTTTCGTTATCCCTAATCCCACCTTTAAACCCTTCGTATTGATCCCTCATCTACGTTAGGAGTGATGATGTTCAACAACTACATAAATATGAACTCTCTCCCGAGTAATTCACACTAAATAGGAATAATTAATTGAGAGCCCTTCAATCAACAACAATAAGCATATAGTTGAACAAATAGAGATAATACTATGGCAAATCTATATTAATATAAGGAGAAAATCATCCTTCAACAGGTTGCATCAAAACCCTAGATTATGAGTTTAGCTACTCATACTCATAGTAACAATATCCAAAGTAATTTGCATAATTAAGTTACGGAGTAAAGATAGAGGGATATAGAAATCAATGATTCGAACTCCCAAATAGTGTTCCACGAGCTATTCTTGCCTCCGGTTGCAAAAGTCCTTCAAAGCGGCGTTTTTGGGTCTATTTATAAGTTTGGGACAAGCCCTAAACGTGTAGGTCAACTCCTAGTAAAGCCGAGAAACAATTAAAACCTTCAAAACTCGGACTGGGCCTGGTCGTAGGCCTGGCGTCGCCTGGCTAACGCCAGCCTCTGCCTGGCTTTAAGATGGCATCGCCAGGCTAACGCCTGGCTTTAAGCCGGCGTCGCTAGGCTAACGCCTGGTTGGGCCTGGCTTTAAGCTGGCCTTGCCAGGCTAAAGCCTGGTCGAGCTGGCTTTTGCCCAACTTCTCCTTTTCACCGTTCTCGAGCGCACTTTTGTCGTTTAAGCATCCATTTAGCTCTACTTTCATTTCCAGTGCACCTAAACATAAAATAGACTCCATTACGCTCAAACAAAGTGTAATTTAACATTAAAGAATGTAAAACGCAAAGCATATAATGTGCAAAACTATGAATTATAGCCACACATCAACACCCCACACTTAAATATTTGCTCGTCCTCGAGCAATGAATCTACACGTTGTGAGCACGTGATTTTTGCCCTAAGCAAATTATTCCAAAAGTTTCAAATAAAATGATTTTACAAATTTTTGTGAATTTTGTGGAATTTGGTGTTAATTGATTGCATGATAATTCATATGAAAATAAAAAAAATATATTTGCATTTAGGATTTAATTTCATATTTTAGTATTAATTAGAGGTTAATTTGTTTTAGAACAAAATGTAAAGAAAATAACAAAATGGTCCGTTTTGCATTTTTTAGTTCAAATTGGTATTAGTTTGTATTTTTCTTTTAATTAGGAATTAATTAGGAAATCTAATTTTTAGTGTTAAGTTGATTGTGAGCATTTTTAATAAAATCAAAATACATACAAAAATACAAAATAAAATAACAAAAAGAGAAAAAAAGAAAACAAAATCAAAAAGGAAAATAACATAGAAGAAATCCAAATTTGGGCCATTTGCAAATTAAATAATTCCAGGCCCAAAACTGATCCCTTCCCCAAAACTGGACCAAGCCCACACCCTATCAACCCGGCTTGCCCCTCCTCCATATCAGACGACGCTGTTTAAAGTCCAAACAGATCTGGACCGTCGAGGTTATCTCATCTGACGGTCCAGAAATCCCCATCTTTTAATACTTATATGTCTGAAATTTCCCCCTACCCCTCTCATTCATCTCCCTCCTTTCGTCTCATCAGAGACCTCACACCAAAAACCCTACCGGAGCCGCCTTAATTCCCCACCGCCGAGCGATGGCGGCACCACCATCAACGAGCCCCAAATTAACACCCCTTGTTCCCCTTCTCATCCTCTTCTCAAATCCGTCAATGGCTTCCCTCGAATCTTACCCTAAAGCCTCGAATATAGGTTTGAAATTTTTCCGGTCATGACACCAATTCACCCAAACCGGCCCAAATTTACACCAATTAATCGCCTTCCCTTCCCCTATCCAAATCCCCGGTTAGTTTGTCTCGAATATGCCTAGAACGGTTCGAATATTAATTTGAAGATTTTCCGGCGAAGCCCTAAATACCCCAAGTCATACCAAATTGGCACAATATGATACCATCATCGTCTGCATGAATATTCTACCACCTAAGGCGTTCATCACTCGACTGTTACCATAATAAGAAGCAGAACCCTAGACATCGTAAGTGAGTCTTTCTTAGTTATTTTTTCTCTTCTCTTCTTCATGTGTTTCTGTTCCTTGATCACTATTTTGCTAGGATTAATTAACTTAGGTCTTGTTTTCTATTTGTAAAGAATCAATAGTTTATTTGGTTTATTTTCTGCATGATTGTTGAAATTTTAAATAAATTGATTAGTGATTAGCATAAAGTCTGCTATGTGTAGTTCAATTTTGCTTTAGTTTTAATTGACCCTTTAGGCCATACTTAATGCTTGATTTAGTTTAAGTGAAATTTGATTTCATCCTGTTAGTTCATAAGCGGATCCAGTTTTGTTAGAATTCAGAATTTTAGTTAATGGTTCTTCTTGGTTCTTTGGTTGATTTTAATTGACCTTGTTTAATTAAAAAAGGGATAGGTTAATGGTGACCTAGGGGAGTAATTCCAGAGAATGTTCAAGGGTGTTTGGGTAAATAGAATTAGGCAGAAGTGTGTAGGTTTTATCTGAAACTACTAGAACCTTCTAGAGATGGGGGTAAGCTAGAATTTCAGAAAAATGTGCATACTTACTTGAGTCACACGCCAACAAGTTAAGGGGCCTAAATGAAATACTTATAATTTGATGCTTTCCCCTTGTTTGCCTATAAAATGGCATGCTCTTGCCTTCACAAACAAGTTTGGAGCCTCCAAAATTCCCCCCAAAAAACTCTCTCTCTAATTTCAGATCTAGTTTTGAAATCCAAACCTTCAAAATCCAAAAACAATAGAAAATCTAATAGAAAAATCCAAAACAAATACTGTTTCATTAAAATTTTAGGTTAATTTCGAATTTTAGTTGTTGATTTACATCTTCCAGTTCATTATCTAGTAGTTGAAACTTCAGAGGTGTTCCTGGGTTAATTTCAAGTGGGTTTTGGGGTTCAATCAAGCTATTTTTGGTCATCCATCAGTGCTGTGCTTCTACAATTCATTTCTGGGCTGCTTTTGATAGCATTCGTTGGGCTGTGAATTCGATTGTGAGCTGCTGTTTGATCATTCGGTTACTGCTGTTGATTCCTGATTTATTTTCATTCTACTTTCCAGGTACGAGGTCGCTACCGTGTAGATTTCAAGTTAAAACGAAATGAAGTTGAAGCATGCTCTGTTACAGATTCCATTTATTTTTAATGTTGTAGTATTTCATTGTAATTGACATGGATTGGACTGCCTGAGACTTTTGAACCTCTAGAGTTAGCATTAATATAGCATAGCTTGCCTTCATATGTTAGGTTGATTGTTTACTAATTAGAGACTGTTATGCATTTGAAACTGATTCTGAAATCATAGACATGAGTCCGTGGTTGTTAATTGTATATTCAAACTGTCATAATAATTAGCAGGAACATCATTTTTAGCATGGTATAGTCAGATATAGCTGTCATCTCCACCTGAAGGTTAAATTCATAATAGGCTACTAATTCAAAGCTGGATTTAAAGTAACTATGGTCGTGTCAATATTGGATCGAACTTACTTTGTATTTTAAATGCAGTAAATAGTCTGATTGTTCATCTACAAATTCAATTCACATATAGGAGTTAACATTAGCATGAATTCAGAACTGATTATGTGCTGACCACTGATTAAGGCTGTTATGAACTGAAATCAGTAGGCCGAAATTCAAATAAATCAGTGTGAGATCTGGGCTTGTTTAAGAGCCCAAACGTGACAGCCTCTGTTTGAACAGACCTGGGTTTAAATCTGTTTAAGGAGCCCATGTTAGACGACCCTCTCCTCTTGTAAGGTTAAACAAGTCTCTTTCTTTTGGGCCTCTATTTTGAAGCCCAATCTGCTGAAGATCCTGTTAATTATTAAAGCATTCTGGCTTAATATTATGTGGTAATACTCTCAATGGTGGTTTATTAACAACGCTAATTAGTCAGGGTTTTTTTTAGAGACAATCCTTTAATAGAGAACCGTAGCTTCTTTTAGGACAGCCTTAAATAAAACGAGGTACGCCGCGCCAAATAAAATCACAAATTGCGTGGCCCTCTTTAATTACTTTTTCTTAAAAAATATATATTTAGACTTCGGGACGAGCCATTTAGCGAATTCCATGGCCTCCCACAAAGTTAATAATACGTTAGTTGCTTTAGGCGCGTATTTTAATAATATTACCTTCCTAAAA